CATTGCTAACATTTACATAATACTTTAACATTTGCAAAGAACTTTACATACATCTTGCTTGATCTTCACAACCCTGTAAGGCAGGTGCTATTATTATCTCCACTTTACAGATAAGAAAACTGAGGCAAAGAGAGCTTAAGTGACTTGCCTGGGGTAACACAACTAGTCAGCACTTGAGGAAGGGTTCAAACTCAAGTCTTTCTGGCACTCTGCACACCATGTCACCCAGCTGCCTTCAAGTTCTCAAAGAGAGTGATCATGGCTCTGGCCTTTGTTTTCACTTTTTCCAAGCTAAACATGCTCATACCTTTCAACGATCCCTTCTACGTCATGGCGTCCAGACCCCTTCCCACTCTGGCAGCCTTCCTCTGGCCACTGTAGAATGAGAGTGCACTCATAAATGAAATTCCAAAAGAGGTAAAAATTTTATCTTAATGAAAATCATTTTCAAATAGATGTCTCTTTAAGAACGCTGTCCGTGAACTACCTGCCTCACAGAGTTGCTGTCAAGGAAGTGAGAATTTGGGGGCAGCTAGGTGGCGCAGTGAATACAGCACCAGCTCTGGATCTAGGAGGACCTGAGTTCAAATCTGGCCTCAGACACGTAACATTTACTAGCTCTGCGACCCTGGGCAAGTCACTTAACCCCATTGCCTAGCCAAAAAGAAAAGAAAAAAAAAGTGAGAACTTCATAAATCTTAAAAAGTTGTAGAAATGAAAATGGTCATTAGCCCAACTGGTCAGCCTTCCTTGGTTCATCCTGAACATCCTGATCCTGTTCTCTCAGGTCTATGCCTCAACCATATTTCTCTTTGGCTGTGCGCCCTTTTAAATGATTAAAGCTTAAAACCGCACTAAGACTTTTGGGACACCCTGTGTATATGTGATTTTTGGACCTAAGTTTATCAGAGAGCTTCCTATGTCACTACATTTATTTCTTTAGATCCTTCCTTTCTCCAAAGTTTCCATGAACCAGTTCCTCCTCAATCAGAATTTTTTTATTTTTTCTTTTCTTTTTCTTCTTTTCCTTTTTGGAGGCAATCAGGGTTAAGTGACTTGCCCAGCGTGACACGGCTAGTAATTATTGGAGGTCTGTTTGAACTCAGGTCTTCTTGACTCCAGGCCTAGTGATGTATCCACTGCACTACGTAGCTGCCCCCTTCATTAGAATTAACTCACCTCATCATTTTCCCTATCTTCTGTAATACAAAATTGTCGCCAAGGCAAATTATGAATTTTTCAGATGCTTTGATCTGGTGTTTGGATACATGAAGTCCCCCATAACTACTCTCTCTTGCATCATCCCTATATTCCATATCACTATGAGGTATATATTGTACTCCAGTACTGATACTACTTCTGTTTCTCCTTCGTCTTTTTGCCCAAATGCTCTCTCCCATGTGTCTACTCTCAGGTTCATGGCCTGACCTCCAGGTAGAGATGGTCTAGTTTGTTTCAGTAAAGCAAGGTATTCTTTTCCATTGCCTTGTTGCAGTCATGAGCTGCAACCTATCATGTTTAGTGGTGTTTAGGAGATCATGCACATCTTTCCTTGGGTAAAAATTTTCAGTTCATTTTGTTTATTACCCATATAGACATGAAAGCATTATTTTCTTCCCTGTTATTTTTTCCCAATAATCCCTGGGCACTTCTACTGCTGTTCTTGTTTCTAGGCCATATCCTCTGTCCTTTAGGGAGTATTTGGTATTATGGTTTTGTTGGGGTATTTCTCCCCTCCTCAAATGAAAAGAAAAATCATTCCTAAGAAAGCATGAGTTTCTTTTATATAAGTAAATCTATGGCACTTGGTGGGGAAGGAGATAAAGAGAAAGAAAAAACATAGCTGACATTGTGTAATAATTATTCACAATCATTAAAAGTGACAATTGTGTAATAATATAATTAAGTGTTGTTGCACATTGGTGTAGTAACTTATACTTATGTGGCACCATATTTATATTAGCTACTCATGATCAGTCTTTAAAGGACTGGCATTGTTTTTGTCTTCCCCTAGTTACAGAGAAGGAAACTGAGGCATGAAGAGGTTATTGGTTGTAATATTAATAGTTAAGTAGCAGTAGTAGTAACAATAAATAACAATAATTTATATGTCAGGGCAGCTAGGTGGGGTGGTGGATAGAGGGCCAGGCCTAGAGTCAGAAAAACCTGAATTCAAATAAGGCCTCAGACACTTACTGACTATGTGACCCATAGCAAGTCACTTAACCATTCTTGTTTGCCTCAGTTTCTTCATCTATAAAATGAGCTGGAGAAGGAAATGGAAAACCACTCCAGTATCCTCGCCAAGAAAACCCCAAATGGGGTCATAGAGAGTCAGACACAACTGAAATGACTGAACAGCAACTATAATAAATTATTTATATGTCAGATTCTGCTATTGAAGGTTTACAAAGTGCTTTCTTCAGAATAACCCTGTGAATTTGGATAGTAATAGGGTGCAGAATTGTGATATCATTAGTGTAGGGAACTCCTGGGTGAGGAAACTCTCTGCAAATGCAAATCAGCACCTTCTCTGCAATTTGTGGGAGCACTGACAGGTAAGTGACTCACTGAAGGTCAAGCAGCTAATATGTGTGTCAGGCAGGACTTGAACCCAGGTTTTTTTTTTCATTTTGAGGATGACTATCCAGCACACAGCCTCTTTATAAGGTAGGGAGGTCAATGTTATGATGTCCAGTTTCTGTTGTTATTTAGTCATTTCAGTTGTATCTGATTCTTTGTGACCCCATTTGGGGTTTTCTTGGCAAAGACACTGGAATGGTTTGCCATTTCTTTCTCCAGCTCCTTTTACAAATAAGAAAACTCAAGCAAATTAAGTGACTTGTCCAGGGTCACACAGCTAGTCAGTGTCTGAGGCTGGATTTGAATGAATTTTCCTGACTTCAGGCCTGGCACTCTATCCATTCTGCCACCCACCTTCCTTCAAGTCCATCTTTCAGATAAGAAAACTGACGCTGTGGCTAAGTCTGAATCACATAGCTACCAGGTGTCAGAGCTAGGCTGCAAAGCCAAGTTTAGCATTTTCCTTGGCATTTCCTAGATCACATAACGAGTAAAGATCAGAGCAAAGCTTAAAATTCTCAGGCCTAAAATCCCAGATTTCTAATATCAATTAGCCTAAGGTAACATGTCACTAAGCTGACATTCTTACTTACAGCATCTTTCTTTTTTCCTGGTAGGAAGACAAACTAAACAAGAGAGAAGTAGATGCGCCAGAGGGTAAGACGCTGGGCTCCAGTGCTTCAAGGAGTGACCAAGCCCTGCTTCTGGAGGTTAAGAGGACCCACTTGGTCCAGAGGATTGAAGATGTAGAATGGGAACTGTCCCTCCTCCTTCATATTGCAGAACCCAGAATGCATGCAGCAGAAGGCCAACTGGATCGCCATGCCAGTTTAGACCGCCTTCCCTCACATTAAGGAGACTGTGGTTCCTACCCATTGGCGGCATCTTCGATGTGAAGGATATGATTGGGTTCCCTTGGAGATATCACATTTCCAAAAAAGCTGTAAAACTCAAGAAGGTTTGCAGGTAGATACAAGCAGAGAATGGAAGAGAAGACTTCTTTACAATATACTGTTCTTATATATTTTATATAGCAGTCTCTACTCATATTATACACATATGCATGTCTGTATTTCATCTTATTTCCAGAAATATTGTTATCTACTGGGCGCAAGGCTACAGGGTGGGAATCATCACTCTTCAACAGATAAATTTGAGAGGCAGAGTGATGTTCTGGATAGAGCGCTGGCACTGGAGTCAAGAGGAATTAGATTCAAATTGTGCTTTAACTGTGTGACCTCAAATTAGTTACTTAAACTCTCTGAGCTTCATCTGTAAAATAGGGATAATAATAGCATCTAGATTATAGAGTTGTGACAAAAAAAATGAAATAGTTTCTATAAAACATTTTACAAACATTAAAGCACTAGATAAAAGTGAGCTGTTTTGATTAATTGTGTTATCATTGATGTGGCTACCCCCTGCAAGCATGCAGACTGCAACTTATCCAAATTTTCTAATGTAAGAGCAACTTTTGTCCAAGTCAACCTGTAAATCCTCAGCAGCAGGTGTGCCCAAACATGATGGAGGCAATTCTTCTAGATGCTGGGAATAGGAATAAAAAAATGTCACTGTCCCAGACCTTCATGAGCTCAGTTATAAAATGGTCCTTTGCTCACTATTCTGTTGACAGGAAGCAGTGAGATTCTGGGAGGCAGCATAAGAGCTGGGCAATGTGGGGCCGTGGTCCATTCATAAAGGGCCACAGCATGGTTGCCTGCAGTTCTTTGTCCTGGCCTTATGCTGATCTCCACCTTCAATGCGTTGGCATAAGGAGATTTGAACTGCATGTGGAAAATTCAATCTCTTGGTTTTCCAAAAGGCTTAAGCTATGAGGAGAAACTATATCCTACAAGTAACTCTGACATGAGACCTTCATTCTCCTGTGCAAGGGAGAATTTACTATTCAGTAGATGCCCAATAGCCATTGAGAACATTCCTGAGAGCACGTAGCTCCAGAGGTGGACAGTTTTTGGGTTGGTGGAAAGGTAGGAGTGAGACTGAGAACAACCTATGTTCCTGGCCCTCGAGAAAGGAATTGGGGTGGAGTTAGTTTAAGAAGAGGAAACCTTAAGGGGAAGTGGAAGGGAAGAACAATTGTCCCCATGGCAGCTGGAATTCCTGGGGTTCTCCCTTTTCAGTGTGTCATTTCCTCTTACCCAGGTGGCCCCTGTTCATCTCCCAGGTAGGCCTGGTGATGCTCCTTGGCCCCCAGCCAGGCAGTTGTTGATGTGGGCAGCCCCAGCAGCAGCAGAGCTGTGGCAAGCCCCTCCAGCTTTGGTCAGGGAGTCCTGCTTCTCACAACAAACCTCGCCTGGGCCCTGGAATCTTGCCGACTTCAGCAAATGTTGACATGTGCTTCTCCATGGAGCAAGAATCTAAGCAAGGAATCTGACAAACAAAACAAAGAAGTGAGAGCAGGGGAGTGGGGGTGGGGCAGGGCAGCTGCCTTAGCTGCTTTTTCTTTCCAGAGACCTTCCTGTTTCTTCAAACATTTTCTGGGCCCCTTGCTTGAGTTTTCAGCTTTCCCATTGCCAGCTGCCTGTGGTCCCAGGACTCAGGCTATGATTTTTTCCTGCTAGTCATCCTCATCAGTATCCCCACTCAAGAAAGGGCATCACTCCCATAGGAGATTTCCAGACCAACCGTCCTAAGGTCCAAGGTTACTGCTAAGAAGGCAGTTGTGTACAAGGCTTGCCTGACTGACATCTTTGGTTTGAAGAGGTGGATTGCTGACCAGAGCTCTAACATCGGGCCGATCTTGAGCCAGCTTTGGCCTTCTCTGCACGCCTAAACCATTTATCAAAATGTTTATCACCATTCTCCATGGAGGTGAGTGGAATCCCCTCTCTGTTACTCTGCTCCTAAGCCTCCTTACTCTAGCAGAAGGTCCTTGAGGAGGGCAGCTAGCTAGAGCAGTGGACAGAGCATGGGGCCTGGAGTCAGGAAGATCTGAGTTCAGGTCCAGCCTCAGACACTGGGCAAGTCATATAACCCCTATTATTCTCAGCTCCTCATCTGTAATGAGGACATACTAAAGAACAAAACGGCAAACCACTCCAATATCTTTGCCAAAAGTCTATGGGGTCACTTAGACTCAGATACAACTAAACAACTCAACAACAACAAGGTCCTTGAAGACAAGACAAACAGAAAATCATCCTATACTTGGCTAATGCTCAATAGAAAGAGTTGATACATAGACTGGATCAACATAGAGGGTTACCCAGGGTAACAGTTAGGTGACTCTGTAGCACAGCAGATAGAGAATTGGTCCTTGTCTCACTTAATCTTTATCTGCTTCAGTTTCCACATCTGTAAAATGGATATAACTGCAAGCTCAAAGGGTTGTTGTAAGGACCAAATAAGGTAACATGTAAAGTGTTTTGCAAACCTTAAAGCTCTATATCAATACCAGCTATTATTGTTATTGTTATTAAGAATCCTGTTTTGAGGGGGCAGCTAGGTGGTGCAGTGGATACAGCACCAGCCCTGAAGTCCGGAGGACCTCAGTTCAAATCTGGCCTCAGACCAAACACTTGACACTTACTAGCTGTGTGACCCTGGACAAGTCACTTAATGCATTTGCCTTAAAAAAAAAAAAAGAATCCTGTTTTGACCCTGCCATATGACAGGGCTTGTTGCTGATTATATTCCCCCACAATGCATCACTTGTTCCTGTGCCTTAGTCCTTAAGCAGACTCTTTATTAATTCTATTTCCACCGTCCACAGGGAAACATTTTGCTAACCTTAGAAACAAGTAATTTGGAAACATGGACAACTCGACACCTCCCCCTACCCTCAACCACAAGCCACTACCCATAGACACACAATCAAAGGGTTCATTCACCCTGTCATACAACATTCCTGGAGCTCTTCAGATTAAGGACAGCGTATTTAATATGAAAAGAAAAGGAACCAGAGGCCCATGAGTTATGGAACCAGGGAACATTAGAACTGACAGAGATCTTAGAAACCTCCTAGTCCAAATCCTTCATGTTACATAGAAGCAAATTAGTGCCCAGAGAAAGAAAATAAGTTTCCTAATGTCACGCAGGTGACTCTAGGCCAAAGCCTAGAGCCTGCGTGTCACGATTCTTGGGCCATTGTCTTTTCTGCTTGCCCAAAGTTAAACCAAAGTAATCTCGGGGACAATCTAGATGACTCAGGAGATGCTTGTGCGGTTGCTCTCTCTGCAACTTGCCTTCTTTACTCTTCCTTGTATTACACCTCCCTCCCCCAGTTCTCCTTTTCTCACCTCCTATTCCTTTCCATGTGCCAAGCCTAATGACAAAGCCCAGGCTAAAGCAACTCTCCCCATCATGGCATAGGTATGTACCCTCCATGGAAGTGCCAGGACGAACGACTTGGAGTGGAATAGCTCTGCCAAGGCTCTGCCTCCCACACCATTCCTTTCTGGGAGAGGCCAATTTCTCCAGCTCCTTGACACGTGTGTTCTCCTACATGTACAGTGCTCTCCCTCTTCGCCTCTGCGTCTTAGAATCTCTGGTTCAGGGGCCACTCCCTACATGAGTCCTTTCCTCATCTGTCCCAGCTATTAGCACTCTCTTCCTCTTTAAATCGTTTTGTATTTTCTCATATTACCTCATATATAGGTTGGATTTACTTGGGTATGTGTTGCATACCTCCCCCACCCTTACCCGGTAGGTTGTATGCTGCTTGAGATCACGATAACTTTTTAAAAAATCTTTATCTATTCCCCAGAGCCTAACTCAGTACCTCACAGACTTATTGTTATTCAGTCATTTCAGTCATGTCCAACTCTTTGTGACCTCATTTGGGGTTTTCTTGGCAAAGATACTAGAGTGGTTTTTCATTTCCTTCTCCAGCTCATATTACAGACAAAGAAACTGGGGCAAACAGAGTTGAGTGACTTGCCCAGGGTCACACAGCTGGCAAGTGTCTGAGGTTGGATTTGATCTCAGGAAGATGAGTCTTCCTGACTCCAGGCCAGCCGCTGTATCCACTGTGCCCGTGGATACAGTTCAAAATAATAGTCATTTAATAAACCGTTGAACTGAATTCCAGGGCCTGAGATAGGCTTAAGGATCTCATCAGAAGAACAGTACCTAGTTTCCTTCAGCTTATCACAGGATTAGATTTCTGAGCCTCCCCTTCTCCCCAGGCAGCACTTCCCACTACTAAAACATTAACACTGACCCCCCCCCCCCACTAATCACCTAAGAGCCCAATCCATGATCAAGGGCATCATCACTATAACCCCTGTACTGGGACTTAATCACAACCTCAGACTTCTTCCTGCAGATCATGAAAAGACCTTATTTAATTCTCACTGCAAAGTAGAGGCGCTATTGAGCAGTATTAAGCAGTGCTGTGGCTGTGAGCCTGAAGGTAAGCTGAGTATGACACTTGGGAATACACACTGAGGTGGCCACCCCACCGACCCTCTTTACCTTCCCTGCCTCAAAGAGATAACCGAGGATAGCGGGGGCTAGGATGGAGATGACTTCTTTAGGTCCCTTCTGACTCTCAGGATTTGTCAGAATTTTAGGGTAACCAACCTCTCCCCTTCTCACGAGTATCCTAACTGGACTGGAGTGGGGAGGTTCCTCCATACTTCAACGGCAGGAGCAACAAGCCAAGCCAGAGAAAAACTGGAGAAACAGCAGGGGGTGTTTGGTAGGCACCTATTTCTTCTTGGTATTCACCAGGTCAATGGAGACTCCTCTTTAGGAAATGGTCCAAAGCAGCTCAAAGTAAAATACATTTCATAGCTCCCTTATTCCCAATTTTTTACCTGCAAGAGTCAGAATAGAACAGTGGATAGAGCACTGAACTTGAAGTTAGGGAGATCTGGATTCAAATCCTGCCTCAGACACTAATTTCCTCATTTATAAAATGGGGATAACAATAGTTCCTACCTTCCAGGGTTATTGTGAAGATGAAAAGAGAAAATATATGTAAAGCATTTTGCAAACCTTTAAAGTCTTATATAAAGGCAAGCTGTCATCATTATTGCTATTATTATCCCTATTTTACATTAAAGGTAGAAAGTATATAGTGATATTATCCTGGCCCAGGCACAAAGGATGACTCAAGCATAAGAAGAGACACCATAGGCCCAAGCAATAAGAGAAATGACACAGATCTGAATCCAGAGAAATGGTATAGACCCAGATATGGAGACAGAATAGACCCAAATACAGAGAAAGACCCTCATTTCCTGATCTTCCATCCCAGGCTTGTGCCAGGCCAAGTCCATGTAGCTCAGAGGCAAGCTTTCCTGTGAGAAGATCTCCTGGTAAACACAGGCAGGGGCTATGTGAATTTTGGAATTACTCTGAAAGTGTAGGTGGTCTTAGAGGAACAGTGCCCCCATCTATAAGTCTATTTACAAAATCTGCCTCAATATCAGGGGAAATCTGAAGCCATTAATCAGTTTCTCAGCCTATAATATCTCCTATAATAGCAACTCTGACTCTTCTGTTGGGCTATAGAGATGATTGAACTGGCAGACGAGAGTGGTCAGTTGAAAAACCTTCTCCAGTACCCTCAACTCTATGCATCTGAACTGCTGAAGCCCCGAGAAACCTATATCCCTTTCTCTGTAAAACGTATGTATTACCCCAGTGTTATACCCATCCCAGCAATGGTATGAAGGATTGGTATGGGAAGAGGTTATCTTAGAGCCAGGAGACTAGCAAAGTGCTCGAGCTGAATTTCCACGCTATGTCCTTTAAGCAAGACCACACATCTATTAACCTAAATCTGTGTGGCTCTAATTTCTCCTATTCCCCATAGGAAGGAATACTTACAGGCCTTTTCCAGGAAGTTGTCACAGCTTACAGACATCTCTTAGTCTCTGGGCACCCGACTGGGGCAATACACATTTTCCAAGGCATGTCACCCCATCAGGCTTGGCCCTCCCAGCTGTGGCCGCATCCTAGGGAAAGGTTGATTAATACACAAGTGGAGGGAGGAAGGAAGAAAAGAAGGAAGAAAAGAAGGGAGGAAGGGAGGGAGGAAGGAAGGAAGGAAGGAAGGAAGGAAGGAAGGAAGGAAGGAAGGAAGGAAGGAAGGAAGGAAGGAAGGAAGGAAGGAAGGAAGGAAGGAAGGAAGGAAGGAAGGAGGAAGGAAGGAAGGAAGGAAGAAGGGAGGAAGGAGGAGGAGGAGGAGGAAGGAAGGAAGGAAGAGGAAGGGAGGAGGGAGGGAGGGAGGAAGGAAGGAAGGAAGGAAGGAAGGAAAGAACAAATGAATGAATCTTCTTTGCCCCAACAGGACCTGAAGGTTCATCAGAGCCAGTCTTTGTGGCTCTACTAAAAGATGAAGTTATTGACTCTAAATTACTAGGTGAGTGGATCCTCTGAGCAATACCTCAGAAGTATTCCGTGGCAGAAAGGATTATTTCTAAGTGTGGGGAGAAGAAATCTTGGGCACATACAAACACACACACACTTATTTCCCCAGGCATTTGTATAGTACTTAGTGGTTTACAAAGCATTATACAGCCACAATATCTGTACAAAGTCCTATTCTGATGCTTCATGCTAATAGCTGACATTTGTGTAGCTCTTCAAGGCTTGCTAAGTGCTTCATAGATGTTATCTCATTTAAACCTCACAACAACCTTGCAAGGTAGGCTCTATCTATTGGCCCCCAGCTTAGTCCAGGTTTGGATTTGGCCTATGGTGCAGGAAGAAACACTAAGAGAGATTGATGACTTGTAGGTAATACAGAAGCCCCACACCTCTACATAATGAACATTTTCTTCAAGAAAATAATTGGTAGACATTGAATATGGAAAGCATAAAAATAACATCATAAAAGTGAAAATGCTTATATCTAAAAGATAGGAAAAGGCTCATTATTTACATGGCAGTTATCCTTGAATCAGGTCTCTGTATAAAGTCAGACCACTAATTTGTCAGAGCAAAAATCAGTATTAGTTAAAAAGATAAAAAAAGATAAAAGAAAAAAGTAACAGTGAGAAACAGCTATGCTAATACATTTTATCTTGAGCTATTTAAACAAGTAATTGACTCTGAAAACATGGGAAATGATTATAGTAATTTTGCATAGAGGTTTAACAAATATAAATCAACAAGGAGACCAAAAAGTCCAGAAAGCACCTTACTCAGCTAACACTAAGGCTAAAGACAACCCTGACTTAGCATAAAAAGTCACTTGTAAAATCTCACTGAAAGGATGATGGATGAATACAAGATGTATCACCTCGTATAGCAAAGAAAGTCAGTGGATGGTAAAAACCAATTTAAAGAAAGCTTGACAAAAGACTCAGCTAAGCAAAATCATCCTAAGTACATTTAAGGAGGAAAATAGCAGGTCTAGAAAGAGAAGGAGCATGAAAACGATCCACAAAGATTATTTTTTTAAATGTTTTCACCATCAAGGACAGTAGAGCTACTACATTTGGACTTTAAAATCATAATCCTTGATGGACTTATAAATGAGCTCAAAATGGTGCTAATGGGAACAAAGATATGAAAAGAAATCAGCTTGTTTGTCAATAAGGGATAGATCTCTGGGAGGAAGATTGAGAAATATTATTGTTCAGTTGTTTCAACCATGTCTGACTCTTCATGACCCATTTGGGGTTTTCTTGGCAAAGATACTGGAGTAGTTTGCCATTTCCTTCCCAGTTCATTTTATAGATGAGGAAACTGAGGCAAACAGGGTTAAGTGACTGGTCACACAGCTAATAAGTATCTGAGACCAGACTGGGGAAACATAGATGATGTAATGACAAAAGATATCAATAAACAATTCTTTTTTTTAAAGAAATAAAGAAGGAAATATACACAGAGGGCAATGGAAGTAGCACAATGGTTAGAGAACTGAACCTGGAATCAGAAAGACCTAAATTCAAAACCTACCTTAGACACTTTCTAACTCTGAGACCCTAAACAAGTCACTTAACTTCTGTCTGACTCCATTTCTTTACTTGTAAAATGAGGATAATAATAGTACCTACCTCCAAGTGTTGCTGTGAGGATAAAATGAGGCAATATTTGTAAAGCACTTTGTAAGCCTTAAAGCACCATAAAATTCTGGTGACTATTATTATTGTTATATAACTAATTAGACTCTTTGAAGAAGAATGTTAGTAAAAGATGTCATCAGAGGCAGCTAGGTTGGTGTAGTGGATAGAGCATCCACCCTGGAATCAGGAGGACCTGAGTTCAAATCTGGTCTCAGACACATAACACTCACTAGCATGTGACTGTGGGCGAATCACTTAACCCTAATTGCCACACACACACACACACACACACACACACACACACACACACACACACACACACACAAAATGTCATCAGGGAAATATAAGAGAGGAAGAAGAGAAAAAAGGCTTGGTCACAGATCAAGGGAAGGGACTGATAGGTAGACAGCCAGAATGTTACACAAGTATTCTCTCAATTTCAGGAGGAAGTGAGAAGTGCCTCTAGCATATTCGGTGGGCCCCATGGAGGAGACTTATTGGAGAACAGAGACAGGAGTAGCACAGGCAGGCATGTATCAGTGAAGGAAACAATGAAATCAGTGAGATCACGGATCTAAGTATCCAAGAGTGATTCACTATTGTCCTGTGTGATAAGGAGGCTATTATCACCTTCACTTTACAAAAGAGGAAGCTGAAAAAGAACCTGAAACAGGTACCTGAATTTTGCTGTGAGCACATTGATAACAGCAACCAAAGCAGTATTCCTGGTGGCACTAGCTCTGGGTCTTGGAACTGTCCTCTCTTTTAGTGGGCTCCAAAGGCAGAAAAACTCATGTGTGTGTGTATGGGAATAGGAAGAATAAATGGAGAAATGAACCCTCCTGTTCAGCTTTTTGTCTCGGCTGAGGGAAGCATATTCTCGGCCCAGGTTACAGAGAATGGCATGGCTCCTGAGAGGGGGAGTGGGACATTCCTAGGATCATAAGATCAAATATCAGGAGTTCAAAAGGACCTCAGATGACGTCTGGTCCAGCCCCTTAGTGGTGGACAGAATGCTGGATTTGGAGTCAAGAAGACCTGAGGTCGAGTTTCACCTTTAACACTTGGTAGCAATGGGACCCTGGAGAAATCATTTAACTTGAGTGTCAGGTTCCTCATCTGTAAAATGGAAAAGAATAATAGCATCTGCCTCCCAGGATTAAAATTATATAATATATGTAAAGCATGGTTCAAACTCTAAAGCTCTATGTACATGTGAACTATTGCATGAATAAGCAGAGATTATGGTTTAGCAAGGGCAAGGTGGCTAAAATCTGTATTCAAATGCTGCCTTGGACACTTATTAGATGTGTGCACACCTAGTCACTTAACTTAGGCTAAGTCACTTAGCCTGCCTGTGCCTCAGTTCCCCCATCTGTAAAATGGGCTTGGCTTGATGGCCTCACTGGTCCCCTGCAATTCTAAATCTATAAACCTATGATTTATACAGGACTTTTATTTCAAGCAGTTAACTAGAGACTCTGCTGAGAAGAGTTGGTCTCTGTCTTCAAATAGCTTTCAGTCTAGTTGAAAAGGGTAAGAAGAGAAAAATGGCTAAACTTTTCACGACAGAAACAACTTTTGAAAAATAAATCATGACTATTTTTTTTTTGGTGAGGCAACTGGGGTTAAGTCACACACCTAGTATTATGTGTCCGAGGCTGGATTTGAACTCAGGTCCTCCTGATTCCAGGGCCAGTGCTCTATCCACTGTATTTTATCTTTTCTTAACTGTGTCTTACACACCAACCAGCCGACGAGCTCCTTAAGAGCTGACACGTGTCTTACATTTCTCTGCATCCCCACCAGCTCCTGGCCCACTGTTGATGTGGCCAACTGATCGAAAGTAACAAACTGGGAAATTATTACTGAGTATGTACTACATCCACAAGTCCCTAAGCAGGAAACCAGCATAAAAGAACAACCAGATAATTTTCAGGGTCTTGGACTGAACTACATGTTCTTGGTCCTTTTCCTGCTCTGGTTCTGTTTCCATTGAAGTAGTCTGACGAGCCCCAGTAAGAGCCACTATATACTCTGTTAACGCTTAAACAACATAGGAAGAGCCTGGAGGGAAATACCTTGCAGCTTCCTTGTTTGGACTCTCACAAGCTGCCCTGCAATCTCACCGTGTGTCTGCACAGTGGGGAAGAGGGAGAACAGTCAACAGGAAGTCCTTTGGAGCCCAGTGTTGTGGTACAACCTGGCGATCAGCCGCATTCCTTCCTTCCCGATGTCATTAACAATAATAATATTTAACAGCTAGGTAACACTGTAGCACCGGAGTGTTGTCAAGGCATGAACTAATTCAGCTGCCTAGCCAGCCTCTCCTTGAAAGCTTGTCTCTGCAAGGTTGAAGCTAATAAAGAGCTTTTTCACAGTGAAAATAGCATTACTGTAGGGAGACTCTGGACTTACTCTCCCAACCTACCCAGGCTCTAGCTGGTTCGGGTGGCTGGGGTTATAGCAGGACCCCTGAGGGCTTGAGAGAATCTTTCTAATGCTATCTACCTGAGCTCTCATTAGGGTGTTTTCTTCCCTGTATCAGCTACCAATGATCAGCACCCCAGTACCACTGACCAATTGACAGCAATTGGCTATTTACTGAAAAGGTATAGTAAGAACAGAAATAAAGTCATTTCCTTCCATCATCTGGAGGTACACGTTCTCCTATACCATCTCAGTTCCTGAGAAGAGTGGGCTGACATTTAAAGCAGTTTCCACAAAGAGCTTGTCCCCATCAAGTTCACTTCTGAATTCAGCACAGCCAATGGGCAGAATTGCTGCCCTGCTTCTAGCATCCAGCCTGTTGGCTGCAGGGTATATCCACTGCTTGGCTTGAATGCCAGTCATTGCTCCTCAGGGCTTTGCTATTAGATTATAACTCTGGTCTGGACTCTAGCTCCTGGGTCTCTAGCAGCTCACTCTCCCAATCTTTCAAAGTTTATAAGGCTGCAGCCTTATTTGTTCCATCTCCAATATTCTTTCTCCTCAAGGCAGAAAAGTATAGCCCCAACAGAAATGGAAGCCATGTGCTCACAGACTACATAGCAGCATGGGTTCCAAGGCCTCTAACTCCACTAGAAAGCTTACAGAAGCAGCCTTTGCCCCCTCACCAGAGCACAGCCAGGAAAGAAAAAAAAAACACTGTGACTCAATAGTGCCTTTTGAATGTATTCTCAGTTCTGGATCCGAAGTGAATCAGAAGGTGCCACTTCTTCATATGATTGGAAACAATAGCTGTTCTTGTTCTGAATTGAGAAGCACAGTGCTTCCATTCCAGGTCATCTTACCTTTCCAGAAGCAGAGTCCCCAGCCTCTTCCCTGTGGAGATTACATCAGTAGAGTATGCGGTGCATGCTTGCAAGGGATAAGCTTGGCCAGTCCACTGCATTATTTACTGAAAGAGGCAAAAACACAGTGAAGGCTCATTACAGATGTTTACATTTCTCATCTTAAATACATACTGATGATACAGATGGAATGGCCCCCGTCCCCTCCAAAATGAACATTGCCATTGTATCACATTTCAATAAACATATACTCAATCTATCTGACCTCTCTGGGCTCCAGTTTCCTCATCTGTAAAATGACATTGGACTATATAACTTATGTATGGCTAATTTGGAAGAAGATTACTGCATGTACTGCTATTCTAGTCACAGGAAAAAATTCAGAGATTAGATAAAACAGAATTTCCTCCTGAGGAGCTCAGTCTAATAGGGTAATAATATAGAGATAGACAATTTTATTACATAGTATTACATGATAAGTATCTTAGAGAGTTACAAAATGGTGTGCTATTTGAGATATGAAGGCCAAAGTGGCCACCAATGGGAATATATGGGAAGGCTTCATGGAAGAAAGAACATTTAAATTAAGCTTTAAAGGGATGGAGAGAGGGAAGGTACTGCTGAGAGAGAGAGAGAGAGAGAGAGAGAGAGAGAGAGAGAGAGAGAGAGAGCCTGAGCACAGACATGGAAGTAGAAAATAGAAGCATTATGTTCAAGGGACAGAAAGTAATACAGTTGGGCTAGAGTATAGAAGACATAGAGAAGTATAGGGGGAAAAGTAATACGCCCATCTGTGGTGGCTTTGAATGCCAAGCAAATAATTATGAACTTCACTCAGTGGGCAGCTGGACTGAGTTTCTGAACACTCTAACACATTAAGAAATTGATGTATTTCTATCTGCACAAGCATCTGAGAACTGGTGCTCAGTGGTAGAAAGAGACCCTTATCAATGACTTTTGGTTTGAGGGGAAGGGGTGCCTACTAACTGTGCCAAGGAAATCAATGAAAGGACTTTATGTCATACTGTAGAGTCCTTGGGAAATTGTAATACAGTGAGTAAGGCAGAAGAAAGACAGTGCAGCTGTACTGGGCAAACTGCCAAAAACAAGCCCAACTCTCCAAAGAGACAGCTGGAAGGGAAGGGAGTCATTAGAAATTAGTTACTAAGCCCATCTTCCATAACCAGGAATCACAGCACATTTTTGAAGCCCTCATGGTGAGAGGTCGATAGCATGAAAGGATGATGTCAGCCAGCCTGGGGCCAGAGTTGCCCAGGATCAGACACTCTCTTCAGCAACCAATGGGAATGGTGGGCTGATCCCATGGGACAAGCTGCCAGGCAACCAGTATGGGAGATCAGTATGGAAAAGAGAATCATTTCCAGGGTAGAGGGAGAGGGGAATTCCTACCAAGAAGAAAAGAAAATGTTTGACTCTAGGGCACTCCACAGAGACAAGGTAGCAATTGGCAAGGGGCTGGTGTAGACAGTATAGGACACCACTAGAGGGTCTTTGCTGACTACATTTGACATCACCTTGGAGCTTTTTGCAATGCCCTAAGATAATGGGATCTGAATGTTTTCAAATAATAGATAACCAATTTGGTAGCACTGAAAGTACACAGGGTGACTATGTGAAGGTCCTCAATACTCACCAAAAGGAGGAAGAAAAGGCCTCCAACTTCATGTTGTGGTTAAAAAGGGTGAGAAATAATGAAAAGCATAGTGTGTATGGAGGGCATGGACCATGATAGGTTGACTCAAGGGATTAGGGGATCATGTTGAAATACTAGGGCTTCCCCTGTCCATTACCTAGAATCGGTATGGTTGGTTCAGTCACCTAGAAACAAAGCTAATGGAGTAAGTGCACGAGGTAAGGAGTTACCATAGAACCCCAAGAAAGTTCTTCAGGGATGGGCCACCGAGAACAAAAGAAAAAGTGACTCAAATCACCGAAACTGAACTAAAGTAGCCTAGACCAAGCTTCCTGGAAGTTGGCCCAGCAAGGAGGAGCAAGAAATTAACATGGTAGGATACTTCCAAAGCAACAGCAAAAGGGCATATTGAGGGGTTGGGGTCAGGGAGGGGGAAGCAGGAAGTGGAATAACTATAGACAACTGTTTGGAGGCTCTGCAAGGTCTGAGGAACAGAGGATCATCTGAGGAAAAAACTCAGGGCAAGGCAGGGGCCACTGAAGTCTCACTTAATGAATGACACATATGATGACCCCATGGAGCACATATACAACCCACTTCAGTGACTTCTAACTTTTCTGAAAGCAACCTTGGAATTGGCCTTTTGTTTTCAATTTGAGACTGGGCCTCACTTTCTTACCCAAACTGAAAGTACAATGGCCTTTCATGAGCCTGATCCCAATGCTAATCAGCACAGAAGTTTTGGCCAGCTTTGTTTTTGACATGGGCCTCTTTGTCCTTCCTTAGGCATCCTGGTGAGCCTCCCCCCACTGCCAAGGGTTCACTGCTAGATGGTGTAGACACCTAATTGGCTTAACCCACTGCAGCTCAGAATTCCTGAGATGAAGAAATCCACTGCCTCAATCTACCTCAGTAGTTGGGATTACAGGTGGACAGTGCCACATCCAGTTAGAAAACTGCTTTTTGCAGAGATGGAGGCTCCCTTTGAATCTTAGAATCCTATATTTTAAAGTAGATAAATAATAGATGATAAATGAATGAATTTGTAAATAAGTGAATAAGTAAATGAATGAATGGTGAATTTTTTTAAAAGACTAAACTAGAACAAATTCAAATTAATAGAATAAGTTGTAAACAGAAACTGAATTGATCCAGTATTTCACTGTTTGAATCTGACTTAAAGGCAACTAGATGGTGCCTCAAGTAGAGTGTTGACTTACAGTCAGGAAGACCTAAGTTTGAATCCGGCCTCAGACACTTACTTGCTGTGTGAGCCTGGACAAGTTACTTAATCACTCTGTGTATCAATTTCCTTATCTGTAAATATGGATAATGACAGTACCCACCTCACAGTGTTATTGCAAGGAGCAAATGAGATAATATTTGTAAAGCACTTTACAAATCTCAAAGTATTATATAAATACTAGCTGTTATTATTACATACATGCTGTAGGCCACAGTTTTCCATCTATAAAATGACAATAATAGTCCTTGCTATGAATCTGGCTTGAGACTAATTGAATAAACCCAGCAAATAGTGAGCAAACATTCACTAGGCCAGAAGCAGGAATCAAAAACACTGATTCTACTTGCTGGCTCTCGGTGGGGAAGGAGATGTCCAGCAGAGCAGGCTGGTCAGGATGCTGTGGAGGGTGATGCATTTTGTACTGCTTGGTGCTTGGTGCTTTGGCCTTAGAGAAGAGATGCTTTCCTCTGAAGGGATGATCGCTGTCACTTTAGCTGAGCTTTAAGACTTTGGAAGGTTGGATAAGGTAGGTGCCCCACCCTTCCTGATCTGAGCTCTCTGCTCTTTCTCTGAAGCTACCCTGAGGCTTGCAAGAAACTCCAACTCCACAGTGTCTGAGAAGCAACCAAAACCTGGGAAGACCAAGAGAAAAACTGTGACTTCTGAAGCTCGGAGCCAAAAGGTGAGTATCTAACTGAAGGTCCCAGATGGCCTTTCACTTTTCCTGCCACTAACACATGTCAAATCTGTCTTTGCTTCTGTTTCAGGCAAACTGAGAACCTTCCCATGGAGCAACAGGAGGCAGGATGGGACCTAGGGATATGTGCTGGATTCAGAGTTGGGGGACATGGGTTTGAATCCTGGCCCTGCCACAGATGACCTTTGTGACTTTGAACAAGTCCCTTTACCCCCTCTGGGGCTCAGTTTCCTCATCTATAAAATGAAGGGGATGGATAAAAGATCTCTAAGATCCCATCAGGCTTTAATTCTATGAAATTAGAGCAGAATCATATCCATATCATGTCCTTTATATGGGATGGGAGGACACTGTGAAAGGGCATTATGGCAAAATATCTGCTTTAGCTGCTAGTAAAACATTTCCACAATCTGTAATAAATATCATATGCATACACTACTGAGCTAGAAATGTATCCATACTGTCACCCATCCATTAAGAATACCTGTATTGTCTACTTCTTGGCTTAATGGTAGCAAATTTTTAATCCCAGGTTGTCTCACCACTGCACACTTGGGCACCATCTTCTCCCAGCCAGCCCAACTTCTTGCTTTCAATTAATTGGCAAACATTCAGGGAAAATTAGTGGTATTGTTTCCAAAGATCTTTGATTTTGTCTACATAATTCAATTCAACAAATGTTTATAAAGTATCTGGCAGGGTGGTAAAGCATGAGCATAGAGTGACAAAACAGTCCCTGCTCTCAAAGAGTTTACATTCTCTTGGAAAGATATAACATGTTATAAATAAGTATATGGAAAATAATTTTAAAAGCTAGAGAGTGCTAAAAATGGAGAGAATGAGGAAAAGTCTCCTTCTGGAGAGGGGAGTGCTCCTGTGCTTTGAAGGAAACTAAGGATTCTACATGTCAGTGGTGAGAAGGAAGTGCATTTCAGACTTGGCAGAGATCTATGGATATTTGTTTCTTCAATGAAGATCACCATTTCTCCCTGTCTTAATACAGAGTTTCATAGCAATCAATCAGCATTTATTAAGCACTTCCTGCATACCAGGCACTGTACTAAGTAAGCACTGAGGATACAAAAAGAGGTAAAAGACAATCCCTACCCTCAAGGAGTAGGGACTCCTTTTTTTTTCCTTCTTCTAAAGAAAGGAATTTTATTGTGTATAGATTGTGTGTTAAGATCATTTCCAAAATCTACATGATAGATATATTGAATGTGTTATAAGATTACACGACTGAGCTATCTAATGGGGGAGATGACATGCAAACAAATATATACAAAGCAAGCAGGATAAATAGGAAATGATTACAGGAAGGAAAGCACTGGAAATATAGAGAGATTGGGCAAGGTTTTCTGCAGAAGGTAGCATTTTAGTAAGGACTTAAAGGAAGCCAGGGAAGTCATTAGCTGGAGATGAGGAGGGAGAGTATTCCAGGTCTGGGAAACAATTAGAGAAAATGCCCAGAGCCAAGAGATGAAGTGTCTTGTTCATGGAGCAGCCAGCAAGCCAATGTCCCTACATCTAAGAGTATGCATTGGGGAATAAGTTATAAGAAAACTGGAAAGTGAGGAGGAGGGTAAGTTATGAAGGGCTTGGAATGCCCTACAGAGCATTTTGTATTTGCTCCTGGAAGCAACAGGTAACCACTGGAGTTAAAATTGAGTGGGGAAGTGGGGTGCAGAGAGTGGGTGACATAATTGGACCTATGTTCTAGGAAAATCACTTTAGTGGCTGGCTGAAAAATGGATTGAAGTGGGGAGAGGCTTAAAGCAGGCAGACCCACCAGCAGGATATTGTGATAATCAAGGCATGGAGTGATGGGGACCTGCACTAGAGTAATGACAGTGTCAGAAAAAGGTAGGGAGTGTATGTGAGAGATGTTGGAAAGGTAAAATTGGTAGGCATTGGCAACAGCTTGGATATGGGAGGTAGAGGGGAAGGAGAGAGAAACTCCTAGGTTGTGAGCTGAGGGATTAGGAGGATGGTGTTGCCCTCTACGGTAATAGGGGAGGTGAGCAGCAGGGAGTGTTTGGGGGAAAGATAATGAGTTTCTATGGCAATAATAATAATTATATAAAATAAAATCATGAGTAGGAGGCTCTAGTGGGAAGCAGGTAAGGGCACAGAATGCCTGGGAGAGAAGTATGCCTCCAAAAGAGGTAGAAGAAGCAAATTTTCCCAATTTAAAATATTAACCAGAGCTGGTCCTAAACGCAAGAAAGAGAGAGAGAACTATCACAGAGTCTTCAAATTGGAAGGGATTGTAGAGATTAACCAGAGCTGGTCCTAAATGCAAGAAAGAGAGAGAGAACTATCACAGAGTCTTCAAATTGGAAGGGATTGTAGAGATCATCTAATCCAATCTCTCTCTCAGTGCCTGGATCCCCACTACAACACCTCTGACAGATATTCACTCATCCAGCTTCTACTTGAACACTTTCAGTAATGAAGTATTCACTACTTTAGGAAGCGAGCCAGCCCGTTGTTGGCCAGCTCTAATTGCCCTCTCCTCTAAAACCACATGGAATAAGACTAATCTTTCTGTATAATAACCCTATTTTTGAAGGGAGCAATTGTCTTCCCTTTTAGTTTTCTCTTCTCTACAGTACATATCCCCACTTCATTTAATCCCCATAAGACACTGTTGAAAGTCCTTTCACCATCCTGGTCCCTCTCCTTGGGAAACAGTACAATTTATTGACACCCTTCTTCAAGTGTAGTCCCTGGAACTAAAGAGAGTTCTCTACATGTGGTCTGAGTACAGCACTTTCTAGGTCCTAGACACTATACAAAAGAGGATGCTTTTTGGCATCTACATCACACTATTGACTCATATTGAGTTTGCAGTCAACCAAAACCCATTACATTGTTTTACACAAAATGATATTTAATCAGACACACTTCATTTTGTGTGCATGCAATTGATGTTTTTTACCCCAAGTTCAGCCTAGCAATCCTCAAAGTGTGGCACTGAGACTACTGTGGGGCCTCAAAGTCAGAACTATTTTTACAATAATACAAAGATGTTTTCCTTTCTGATATGGTATTGGTTGTTATGACACCAAAAACAAAAGTTCTTTGGGTCTTCTATATCATCATTCAAACTAATGAGAAAAATGTTCAACAGACAAAAACACAATGATATCCCACTAGAGACCTCATTTCAGTTTGATGATGACTCATTAATCAAAACTTATTGGATACAGTGGACCACTTAACTGGATTGTCATCTAGTTCACATTTCTTTTTTTAACGATGTTTTCCACTTAATAGTATTTTATTTTTTCCAATTATATGTAAAGATAGTTTTCAATATTCATTTTCATGAGATTTTGAGTTCCAAATTTTTCTCCCTCCCTCCCTTTCTCCTCTCCCCCATCCCTAAGACAGCAAGCAATCTGATATAGGTTATACATGTACAATCATTTTAAAAAATATTTCCACATTAATCATGTTGTGAAAGAAGAATCAGAACAAAAGGGAGAAACCACAAGAACAGTTCACATTTCTTTTCTTCATCTTATCTACAAGGAAATCGTGAAGGACTTAGTCAAGAACCTTGTTGAACTTCAGGTACAGTATACCTGCAACATTTCTGTGACCTTGGAGACAAATTAGATGACAATGGTTCACATAAAAGCTGAGATTTTGTCTATGCTAATTTTCCCTGCTCCTGCTTTGCATATGTAAATTCTGATGGTATTCTTTCAGGGATCTGTCGTTTCATCAGCATGGGTGCTCCCACCTACTGTTGCAGATCACAACCTGGCTATAAACTCCCACTACAATTTAGTACTTGGTCTTCAAGTGTTGCTATGACCAAAATTTCATAAATAAAAGGCATAGAAAAACGTGTCTATTGATTTGCTTGCACTTTAGAATGAATTATATTATAAAGTGTAAATATTTTAAAATCTAGTTGTAATAGGCCAGAGAGGTGAGCAGGTTCAGGTCCAAGATTGGAATGAAAGAGACACTCACAGTGTATCTGACAGTTAGGAAAAGGAGGTTTGCTTAGCCAAAGCAGGGAATGGATTTCAAGAGCAGGAAAAAAAATATTCATTGAAGACAGAACCTTGATCCAACCTTGCAACTCTCCTGTTTTGGTCTTGATATTGGTCATGCTGCTGGTCTGTGGTCAGAAATCTGAGAGAGGAGCTCCAGTGCCTCATATCTCAGCCAGTTTTGTGATTGGGCTTACCGAAAAGCCTTTGCTCACTAAGCCAATTAAAACTTGAGGCCAATAACTTTTAAGGAAAACCTAGCCTAACCTGCATGTGGTGGGTCTTTAGAATATTGTTCCCAGAACACTAGTAAGCAAATAATAATTAACAGCTTCTTAGTTGCCCAATGTTAATGCTGATGTTGCAGTCAGCTTGGAAAGAAAGAAGGAAGGAAGGAAGGAAGGAAGGAAACAAGTGTTTATTAAGCACCTACTATATGCCAGGCATTTTAAGAATATTATCTCATTTGATACTTAAAACCCTGAGAGGTAGATGCTATTATTATCCCCATTTCACAGATGAAGAAACTAAGACAAACAGAGGCTAAGTGATTTTCCCTGGGTCACAGTCAGTGTCTGAAACCAAATTTGAATCCAGTCTTCATGACTCCAGGCCCACCGCTCTATCCACTATGCCAGGTAGCTGCCTGGCTCATAAAGTCCTGAATGCTCTTTTGTAGGGACCATGGCAATTATGAATAATGATTTTTTGGGGGGTGGGGTGAGGCAATCAGGGTTAAGTGACTTGCCCAAGGTCACACAGCTAATAAGTGTCAAGTGTCTGAGGTCAGATTTGGACTCAGGTCCTCCTGACTCCAAGTCTGGAGCTTTATCCACTGCACCACCTAGCTGCCCCATGGAAATGAAATTTGTTAATATTTACAAACAGTAGCACCTCTAGTTAATCATTTCTGCAAGGAATCCTCCTAGAAAGTCCAAGTTGGGAAGTGAGGAATCTAGAATCCTATAACTGGAAATTGCCATAATACTTCTCTAGTCACAATTTCCTGCACAAGAAAGAAATTCCTTAGGCATGTAATCCAATCAAAAAAGCTTTAAAAGAAAAAGGATGGGGAAGGGAGAAGGCTGCCTATGTGTTTCCCCAGGATAGAAACCATGGAGAGTAGCTACAATGAAGAATAGTCAAGGAAACACCTGTAAGTTCACAGAAGACAAAACCCAAGATACGAGCCAATAGTAAAACTCCTGACCTCAAGCATCTGTATGCAAATGCCCAAAGTTTAAGTAATTCAAGACAGGATAGTTTAGTAGATAAAATGTTAGAATTGGAGTCAAGAAGTGGATTCATATCCTCTACCACACTCGCTAGATGTACAATGCTGGGCAAGTTATTTAAACTCACTGGGCTTCAGTTTTCTCATCTCTAAGATAAGGTAGTTGAGGTCAATGACTTCTAAGGTCCCTTCCA